TATCACTGTCCATAAAAGCTTTTCCTTTGTCTCTTTCCTTCTGCGTGTTTTCTGAAATTGGCGCAGGGGAACGGGATATCTCGCTTTCTCTAGCTATATCCCCTTCTTCTGTTACTTCAATTTCCGCACCTCCCGATACCCCCCCATCTGTTTTGCTACCGATACCCTCTATTAATGGCAGATGGCCCATTCGACACCTCTTCACACATGGTCTCCTTTGTTTCTGATGTATCGTCATTTCCTCTTGCTTCAGTTTGTTTCTCTCTCTCTCTCTCTTTCATTTCTCATTTTCCCTTCATATACCAGGATTCGGGACAGGCTGGCGTAGAGCGGGCGTATGGTGCGCCCTCAGTTATGGATACCCTTCCGTCACGGAGGCGTTTTGTTCTTTTTCAAGCAGTTGGTAGTTAGAGATGGTTGGCGATCTATTTGGCCAAATTTGGCATGGGCGAATTATCCCGGCGCGATCTGCTCGGTGGTTGGGAGCGGGCAGATGTGGTGACGGTGCTCCTAGGTTACTTGATATACAACGGAAAAGGATGGGCTTTACTACTACTACTACTAGCATGTACTAATACAGATGGAGATTCCATAAACTCTGAGCCTCTTTATTTCGCACCCTGTAAGCACTTGGGTATGATGAAATTTTGGGTAACAAGAAATCGAAAGTGTAACCGACGGCGCTGGCCAAGCCAAGAATTGACCTTTAGGAGGGAGTCTGGGAGACCGTCACGCATACGTGAGATTTTGCAATAGACTCGCTTCGAGGGCTATTCTGTCACTTATCCTTGCTGGTTTCTTACGGGGGGTAGCACTTGTTTCTCGCTTGTACGTCTTTGTCAAGACTGGATAAGCTGGATTGCTTGATTTGTGACATGGGACAAATTAGGTCTATGATGGTGCAAATAGAAGTAGAAGCTTTCACGCTTAGAGCAGTGTACTCCGCTGTTCTTTTTTTTTTTTTTTTTTTTTAATATCCTTGCATACGCGTAAAAACTTGCGATTCGTATCTCTCATATCGATATCAGTATACGAAATAGGAGTACCAAGTAATATTAGTAAGTTGTCACATGCGTTTTCCCATCTTTTTCCTTTTGCCCTTTTCCTATCTCTTCTCCCCCACCCCCTGCTTTAATCTCTCTTGGAAGGGCTCAGATTAGACAAAGGGGAGGGAGGGGGTGTTGATTTACGATTTGCCGAAAAAGAAGGACAGAATGTGAATTATTACAAGTCTAAAAAAAAAAAAAAAAAAAAAAAAAANAAAGGGCACATAATGTAAGATTACGGGATTTCGGAGGGGACCAGGGGGGGGAGGGGGGTATGTGATACGGCAGTTCGGTAGTTGGGTTCTGAAGAATGACAAAAGTTCTGGAAGATGGGGAGAAGGAGAGAGATGCGGATGAGGATGATGATGTTAATATATTATACTTGTACTGTACAGGTAGGAAGGGGGTGTGTGTGAGATGACGAGCTTTGATTTTTTTTTTTTTTTTTTGTGTAAGTGAATATTGCTACATAGTGTAGTGGAATTTTACTGTTGTTTTTGTTGTTGTTGTTGGTTTGAACTGCCATGTGGAAGGGGAAAAAAAACGTGAGGTTCACATGGCAAAAACTGGTCTTTGCTTCTGTTTCATGGTTTGGTTTCCTATTCTGTTGTTTGTGCTTTTGTTTCTACTGCCATTGTTGTTGTGTTGGTTGTTGGTTGGGCATATATATATAGCAACCCTTGGCACAAAAAAAAAAAAAATGGCCTGATTTTTTTTTTCCCTCGCCCTCGTTCCCTTTTGCCCCCCTGCATACTGTAGTATTTCTTTCTCTTTTCTCTTTTTCCTTTTTCCTTTTTTTTTTTTTTTTTTAATTCTCGGAAAGATCCCGTTGGTATGCCTATACTGTATTACCGAATACCACGCTGCTCAAGTCCCAACTTCCTGGTCTCTGGGGAGGGGGAATGTGCTCGAAAATGGAACGAACAGGGGGGGTACAAGTATGTATATACGGGTACGACGAGGGGTTTACTTATAGTAGTATAAGGATTACAAGTATGCAAAATACAAGACGGGAAAACCACCCCTGGGCTTCCTTCTCTTGCCTTTTGCCAGATTAAGCCTCGTTCCGATTTTGGTTTCCATCTCCCCCCCCTTGCCTTGTGTGAAGTGTCTCTTTTTTTGCCCGTCCCCTCCCTCCCCCCCGGATTGGGTTTGACGTCCGGGAAAAGCGGGTTACGAATCGGGTATCGCACCGAGGCCCGTCGAAAATGCTTGTCTTTAGGCTCCAGGGGGGGATGAGGATTTGGCTTTGTGTGTCTCCTCTGGGAAAGTTTTTTTTTTGGCTTGGATGGTGGTTGGGCGGGTAGCATCGCGACTGGCAGAGTTGCAGATAATTGTCTCAAATTGTGGTCTAGTCTTTTGCCATTTACGACAAAGCTTGAGCATGAGCCCCTGGCAGCAATACTACTGAATGTATCAAATCAAATATGTGCGTGTAAGTTTTTTGGAAGACTACTTGACAAGTACCGAGTGGTGCTTGAGCCTCTTTTCTTCGTCAGCAGCACAGTCGGCAGGTCTTGACACGGAAGAAATAATCTTTCCGAGTCTAAACTTGGAAGCATTGTGTAAAAATAAAATAAAATAACAAAGTTAAGCCCTTTTGTTGCTCTTTTTTTAATTTTTCGGCAGAAAGAGGGCCGAGAGGCAGACAGAACCAACACACAGTACATGTCAGTTACTGGTCTCTGCCGTCTTTGGCATTCTCCTTTCGTCCTGATTTTCCAATTTCGTCTATACACTAACGCGGCATTGGTACTTTTTGCTACCTGTCAAATGCTACCTTAGTACGGAGTAGGTACCTAGTACTTAGGCCTTCCTCTTATATACCTACAACCGCTACCACTACTTCATGTGATGCGGTCAAAGTAAAAATAGAAAAAAGAAGAGAGAAAGAAACAGCTGCTTAATAAGACGCGTGTGTATACATGGATTATACGAAGTACGAAACAGTGAATAGCGTACGACAAAATGAGCAGCAAAATAAACACCAGCCTAGAATCCAAAAAGTACATACGGCACATGCTCATCAATAATTTTTACGCCCGTCCAAAAAGGTGGGAGCGCGAGCTCCGAAGCAGACTTTAGCCAATTGATCTTCTTACTTGTCTCTTCTTGTCTCTTCTTTTTTCTCTTCCTTCTCCATGTCATCCATCACTGGCTCTTCGTTTCCCCGTAAATCAACTCCCCAAATAATCAAAACCAAGCCTAATCTCGCCCTGACACGACAAGCCCTCGGCCCTGAGCCCTGTTGAAATCGGGGGGACCACCAAGAACAAGAAAAGAAAAGCGTGTTATCTTCTGCCCGGTGTGCGTGTCTTTTTTTTTTCTGCCCACCCCAAGCTCCGAGAGCTATCCAATCGGTACGTATACTTGTATACAAATACAGAAGCAGCTTTGAGGAGCCCACCTGCTAGTTCGCGGTTAGTCGTAGCCAAGAAGCAGACCTAGTTCAGAGCTCAGCTTACAGCATGTACGGAGTACAAGTATACACAAATTCGGGCTGCTGCCAACAAAAATACCCTCGGCGATGCTCCGTAGCGATACCCGGTTTTAGTGCAATCTTTCTGAAACAGCCTCTTTTTTTTTTTTTTTTTTTTTTTTTTTACACAATTTGTCTCTTCCCGTTTTCGCTCTCGTCGCTTTTCTCGTTTGCTGGATTCTAACCCTAGCACAGCCTTAGCTTCCGAAAAAAGATCAAGGAGAAAGTGGTCCGCATTTTTTCTTTTTTTGCTTAATGCAAAGCCACTACTGCTAAGCGGTTTACGAAGAGCCAAATGCAGACAGAGCACTCCATATGTGTAACACCGAGGCACGACAAATTTCCTCAACCAGCACGGCCAGAGGCAAAACAGACTCCTTTTGGGGCTCTCTGCGGCGCCCGCAAAGCATAAACGCTTATCCGGGTCATGGTGCCTAGAGGCATTCAGGGGTGCTCCCAAAAAGTCCCGAGGCAGACCTACCTGGGCAGTAGTAACACATGTCGTCTGTAACGGGCTTCGATTCCTACCCGATCCAAGTTTCGCTTATGGGCTCTGCCGCTTTCATCCCACATCGTATTGCCGTAGTTGAGATTCATTTATACAAGTATACAAGTGTACACACGTCCAGGCGGTACTATGTACTTGTACACCAGGGTGGGAAAAAACTCATTTCTCCACCATCTTTCTGATCATCATGGGGCAACCCAGGCACTACTGCCAGGTACGCCCGTCTAATGCAGAGTACAAAGCGTAAATCACACAACATTATGTGTTGCCCTGATTATGTATGCATGGCTGTATAGTAATATAGTAATTGTTACTGTATTTCCAGAGAAAGAAAAAGAGATATCTACCTAGTAGGGGGGGGGGATATCAACCACGTACATGCTTATTACAACTCACTGCAGATACCTCACGGAGCATCATCCTCGAATAGGTACAGTGTACTCGCAACGCCAGGTAGCGCAGAACACACCGACAAGTATAAGGAGTTCGCGCCTTGACAACAACAACAACCTGGCAACCTGGCTCTTGACACTTGGCGCTTGCTTAGCATCCCTGCACACGCAAGCTGCCTCGTCAAGAATCCAGAATATTGCAGGACCTCACGTCTTCCGAAACGCTGCTCCCCTCATGTCACATCGCCGTTACCATATCGTGCTGCCCCCCCCTGTATTGTGCCAATCCAGCAGCCTTACCTGTACGATATATCGAGATAGGCACTGCATGTGCCTCCTTGTTCTTGGACACCGCCACTTGCTACTCCAGTGACACCATAAATGCAACCAAGACCACATACTACCAGCAAACATCGACCCGAATAGCACTGCCGCTGCCACCCATAACAGCACCCGCCCTGCTCGGAATCCGGATGAGCCTTACGCGGCTGCCCCGATATCATATGACCGATCGCTCAAGTGCCCTCTTCTTCGGGCCCCGATGCCCGTTCTTGCGACGTCTGTTCATTGCAGTAAGCAGTGCTGCTGAGCTTGTACCATCCCCATGGGTCATCTGTTTCATCTACTTTGAACGTGCCCGTGATTGGCAACCCGGACGCCCCTGTACAACCAACCGTCGTCGTTTGCGCTCGCATTTCTCACTGCATAAGTCGTAAAGTAAGCTCCAATGACGAGAATTTGTTCCAATGGACCCAACAGCCTTTTATTTCGCTTGTTCACAGCTGCCTCATCAAAAGTATCAACACTAGTAAATCCTGCTTTGTCCTACCATGCAAAACCAATCCGGTAAAATATCCTGTGCATACGCCGCCGTATAGTACTGCTGAAGCTGCATCCTTGCTCAGCTGGGGCCATGTAGTAGTAATTGCTCCTGATTCAACCTTTTTTGTCCTCTCTTCTTCCATCCCTTCTTCGCTCGCCCCTGGATACACACACACAGTCCATCCTATCAATACACTTTTTAACCATATGCAATTCAAAAGAATCCAGAACCCACACCTCCCAATGTAACATAAAAGAATAAAGGAACAAGAAAATAATGGGAAAGGATTAAAAAAAAAAACGCCCATGCCTTGCAAATCTCCAGAAGGAAACATAATGTTATCCGGCGGCCAATCTAGTCTGTGAAACGCGATGCTCACAACCTGGCTCATTCCTGCCCCAATGGTAGTTGTAGAAGATCGAAAAGAAGCCTGCGAGGATGGTGCCTGACGTATGCAAAAACAAATATACAATAAAAGCCGATCGAAGCCAAACCGGCCGGCTATAATCGTAGAAAGAAAAGGGTGTTAAAGGAGACTTAGAAAAAAGGAAGAGAAATGCAGCAGGGCCGGAAAATATGCCATAAAGAGGAAGAGACGTCTCTCAAATGGCGCCGCGGCCGTTTACTCCGTGGCTTCAGTGGATGCCACTAGCCAGTCATCCGAAAGTATTCTGGGGGTGGTTGTCATCTGCAGGATTCAATCCAATTCAAGTCATTCCTTCATTCGTACACTCCTAGCTCCTCATGGCCGAGACCTCGGATCGGCCTCTCCTGTGGGCAGAGACGGCTCTCCACCTCTGTCGCCAGCTCTTTGATCTCCTGGACCCCGGGCGCGTGGTATTGGCGCCGGTGGCTCAAGCCGCGGTGGCTGAGGAACTTGCCTTGACAGTGCGCCAGAGTCGTCAGGTTCGCGGGATAGGAGCGAGGAAACTGACTGCTTCACACTCCTCGATTCCTCTCTCTCTCGTGGGGAGGGGCCCCATGAAGGAGCTTGCGGTGGTGTTCTTGCTCGGGGTCGATCTGAATCCTCGTTATACATCTGGTTTGGGGGCCGATACCATGATACATCGCTCCGTTGACGTTTATGCGATCTTCGGCTGGGTGATGCGGGATTGGAAGAGCTGGCTTGCGCAAAGGGCGGTGGCGATCGGAATCGGTCTTCGCTTGGAGCTCTTGGTACCTGCTGGGACACTCCTCCAGTCGTTTTTCGCTTTTTCTGACCCTCCCCTATTAACAACCGCACACATCCAAGTTAGCTTCTAAAGAGAGTCTCGCTTTCTCTTGAATTTTGACGAACCAGACGGTGATCCGGGCCGGTTCGAGCTGCCTCCGCTCTGCGTTGCCGGCGGCTGCCAATGGTGAAAATAGATTGATGGGCTCGTATCGTGCTGAGATGACTGTGACTGCGTGTGCGAATGCCCTTGATGCCCTTGAAAAGGTGGCATCACGGGCGGCGGTCCTTGTCCTGGGGGCTGGGGAGGATTGGTCATGCCTGTCATGCTTGATACTACTCCCATCGGACGTCCAACTGCACCAGAGACGGTCTGGCCTCTTGGCCTCGTTGGCGAACCTGGATATGGTGCATATCCGCCAGGTCCCTGAACTGAGGTTGCCTGTGCTGGAGACGTGGTGTACACTACTCCATGGCCAGGAACCATGGGTTCCCTAGGATGATCCGGCGAATGTGGCCTCTGTGGCGGAAGCAGTTGGGGGTGGTGGCCTTGAGCTGGAGCCATGAACTGCTGTGCCCATTCAAGAGCGGCCTGGGGGAGCGTACCCCCGCTTCCCATACCAGCAAAGACCAGAGGGACCATGGGAGGCGGAATACCACCGTTCAGAGAAGCCCGCAGAATATCCATTTCGATCCTCCTCTGTTCTAGACGTAGAGTCTCTTGTCTAGTCTTCTCTTCTTCCTGCCTCGTCTTCTCCTCTTCTGTTTTAGCCTGGAGCCAAGTCCTCATGGATTCCTCAGCTCCTTGCCATTGCTGCGGCGGAGGAGGCAGGCCAGCTGAAGGTGAAGGCCATGGTTGTTGTGCCTGGTGGGAGGACTGGACCAGCGGTGGTGGATGAGGTGGTTGAGAATGATGCGGCGGCGGCGGAGGGCCAACGGAGGAAGGCTGTTGTGGAGGCAGAGTCATGGCCGCCGGCGGAGGCAGACCACGATGAGAAGTAGACATGGGCTGCACCGGGCTGTTCTGAGAGACAAGATACGGTTTAAAAGAAGGATCTTGGTGGTTCAAGGGAGGAGAGGGTCGGGAGGTGGAGGGCGGAGTTGGCAAATCATGGACGGACTTGTAGCCGTATGTCGTCGATTGCTGCTTGATGGTGAGCATCATCACATATGCCGTGAGTTACAGGAGTGTATGCATGTGTTTAAGTAGGCATTTGAAGGCAGCAAGAAAGGAGCCGGGGGCAGGGCATGCGAGAATCAAATACTTGTAACAATCAAAGTCATAAACGAGAGTACGAGCAGGGAAAGCTGGGTTATAAAAGCTGGGGGTGAAAGCAAGGGATAAAGAATCAAAAGAAGAAGAGAGAAGGGCAAGAAGACGGGAAGCTGTGGAGGCGTACGCAGTGGATATATTACTTTTTTGTGTTATATGTCGAGGCGTAGGCTGGATGGAGGTGACGACTAGCTCAAGAACAGCAGTGGCTGTCGGCTGGGGCAGAACGCTTGAGGATAAGCTAACTACCCTTATTGGGAGTAGTCGTGGTGTCAACAGAGCGAATATACTCGGTACAGGTAAGAAGGCAGATAGAGTGAGGGCTGAAGAAACCCTGTCGGGCACATGCAGGCTATCCAATATCCAGAGATTGAGGTCCGTCCGCTCCTTGTGCGTACGAAGTACATACACTACCCGTACAGGTAGTCTTTCCTAGAATGGAGACTGAGCGCCGCGGGACGGAGTTGGCCAGCGAGGGGCTCGCGCAGGGGGGGGGGACGCTGCCAACGGTCAAAGAGTAGAGGCAAGACAGTCAGAAACTGGGCTGCGCCAGGACCTGAGAGCACCGGCAAGACTAGCAGGAGTGAACAGCGACAAGGGCCGGAGCGGGCACCGTGCCACTGTGGAGAAGGCGTGTAGTCGATTCCACTAGTGAGAGGATGTGTGCACGTATCAGAGTATATGATCTGATTAGGGAATCGATGGAACGTCGACTAACAGGGTGAGGAGGGAGGGCGTGTCGTTTCAGAAAGGGAGTGTGACAAAGAAGGGGGGAGGGGTCAAAAAAAAACAAAAATCTCTGCCAAGCTTCATGAACTGGCGGAAAACAGACCAGAGATGATGGAGGAAGTTGGATCGAGTCAAATAGAAGGTGAAGAAAATGGATGGGTAAGAAGGGAGAAAAGAACGGTAAATACCATCAAATTCAGCGCGGAGGTTTCTCTCTTTCTCTCACTCTGTCTGCCGGTTGAGAGTTTCGAGCCAGCAGCAGCACATCACCCAGGCGATGATAACAGACAAGCAGATGAATGGCGAAGAAATTATACAACAGCAGCATCGAAGCAAGACAAAACAAAACCGTGATGGAAAAAGATACATAGCTATCATAACATACCTGATAGCCACTATTGACCTTGCGGCAAAGAAACAGACAGGGCAGAGATAGTAATTACCATGGCAACAGACTCAACCGAGAGATGGTGTCTGTCGAATGCGGGGAATTGGTTATACCGATGTAGGGTCTGTAAGACGCATAACTGTAAGCCGTCAAGGCAGACGAAAGGATGCCAACAAATCAGCTGGATAAGACACTAGATGGGAGAAACAAAGTTAACCAAGTGGGCAGAAAAAAAGAACCTTCCAACAGCATGTCCCTTGATAAGACTAGGTTGAAAAGAGAAACACTCCCATTGGAGAGCTAGGCAGACAGGATGGAAGGCAAGCAGGCAAGCGGGCAAGCAAAGGCAGGGAGTGTTGCAGCTCTAGGATCTTTGTGTGCCTGTGTGCGGCTGCTGCAGCTGCACGTCTGGAGAGATGGGCAGAACTAGTACATGGCGATAGAGGGGCTATCCAACATGTGAGTGCCCTGCGTGCTGCGGTAGGGAATACACGACTTTGCGTAGCTGCTCCGTATTGGGCTTCGGAAGTGTTCCGTACTGTATGTAAAAAGGCTGTGCTGCGTTTATTGGGAAACAGTTCGGGAGGCAAATGGGCGACATCTCGCGCGCCCGGCCCAATCGACGCGGGCCTGGCCTTTGCTTGGCTGTGGCTGCCACGAGCATGGGTCGCTTTGGAGTTGCAAAAGATTCGTCCGCATGCTAGTGCTACCTGTATGGATGCTCAAGGGAGCAGCAGATCTCCTTGCTCCGTCTTACTCGCCCACTTGAGCTACCTTCTGGAGCTACCCTCTGCCCGGATGAGGCAGATGTCGCGCTTGCGAGAGCCACAGGGCTCTAAGAGTGGAGGAAGAGAGGGGTTGGTGGCGGCTTGGCTGGTCCATTTTCGCTTCCTGCTGCTAGAACTCTTGTTTATTAGCTGAGCAAGCGGGTGCAAGATACGAAGACTGCCTTTTTGCTTTGGCCGAATGGCTTACCCATCGAGGTTCTGGCCTTGCCTTGTCTTGACTAGGACCAGGTCGGTTCAGAGCCGGCTCTCGTCTCGAGATGGATGCGCCATAGTACCGTGCATATGTACGCTGTAAGTAGCTACATTCTGTCTGGGCCGGCACTCCGTGCATATCTAGGCACTCGGCATCTGTGGCCATGCGGTGTATGGATGCATGTGCGCGCGTATGCTCGCCGTGTTTGTTATTCTTTGTTGTTTTTGTTGATGTTGTCGTGTACGAGGTGCGAGTGCTGTTGTCGTCGTCGTCGCCGCTGTCACGTTATCACCATGTCTCCGGTGGGACTTTCTCCAACGTCTTTAAGCTTGCAATTTCGATCTCGGTTCGTTATCGATACGACTAGCCGTGACGTCTTTTTGTAGCTCCCCATCATTGTGCAATTGCAGACAGTGCCAGTACTCTATACAAACTGCAATTGGATTATAGGTATTCTCATTTTCTCTTCCTCTTCCTCCTCGCACCTCCAGTGTGTTGATCTTCTCAAGCACCAGACAGTACTCCGGTGCCACTCCGTAGCACTTACATCACATGGCTACTAGCGTTTGAAAAACGTGGGATACGAATGCCCAGAAGGAGGGTGTATGGGCACCGCAGAGCTACCAGATTCTGCATAGAACATGCTTCTACACAAAGTATAGTGGGATACTTGGCACATTGTGTCTAGACTCGTCGGGATGCGTGGTAGAGAGTACAAGCGACTCTGCTCTACACTCTACGTTAGCAGGTACCTACTACCTACTCAGCACTCATTAGATCTAGTAAAATGCTCAGCCCCCCCCCAGCTTACAATCATCATGCGAGAGCACATCATCCATCCTCCCTAGAAACGCGACACACAATACCAAAACTTCCGCATGCTACGGACGATGATAGCTCTGCATTTTATCGATAATCGAACTGGCCTTCCGCATTGTGGCGCGGTTGCATGGCTTTCGCAAGCTGGGGGCAAAAACAGAAAGCATGCCATTAGGTTGGTTGCAAGGTAGGGCTGTTGTGGATGCCATGTTTACAGACTACTGTGTCTGCCAGGGAGGCAAAAGGCCGATCCGACTAGGAAGCGGCGACGGAAGTGCGGACAAAGAGCGACTGACTCATTGATGGGGGATTAAATCACGACCTTGTGAGTGTGGCTTGCTGTCCGCTTTACACCCCCCTTTACATGTGTATATTGCAGAACTACTAACTACTATTCGTAAGTTTTACCCAAAGAGATGATCTTGCTGTGGAGAGGCTTAAATTCCTTCATGATGCAGCGTCGATGCTCTAGACTTTCCCTATTGAGCTGAGTTGGACCATGGGCAAGCCGAGCCTTGTTAATGCAGAAACCAGTTATCGACATGGGCTGGCTCTGGGCGGCTCAAAAGACGGCTTGGTGCTGACCTGTCACCGCCTTCGGCTCCGTCAAACACGCAAAGCTATGGGGTATGAACTATGCTTGTTTTGAGAAGACAATAACCTACAAGGAGACACTCCGTATGTACGCAGGATAGGAGGGGACGGTCTAAAAGAACGACAAGACAGGGTTAGGAGCGAATATGGGGAAAATAAAGGCCGCGTGTGGGCTTATGATAGTACTACAAATAGTAGTAGTATCCTGGGTCGATCAACTTATACATATTGGAATACTGTATCAGGGCTAGGATAGTGTTTTACACGTACAAGTTCGGACATTGTATTAGTGGTGTTCCCACTTCCTTTACGTTTTGCCGATGCAACAGCTATAGTACTACGTACGAATGGCGGTGGCTGATACCATGCTGATACCCTTGTACAACGGTATTTATCTTTTAACACTGTTGACAATCCGACGAATATGGTGCATCTGCCGTGATGTGTCATCCTCACACGCAAGAATCGCCCACCGGCGGGCCGAAAAAAAGATACTACTAATAGATGCGATACACAGTGGTAGCTTTCTTGGACGGGGAATAAAAAGGCCGCCTCTACAGGTGCCTATATCCTAGTCAGATGTTTGCATGCTATGCCAGTAGCAGTAATAGCATCAATAATAGTATACTGCTCTATGCTGCTAGTATTACGTAGTAGCCATGACATGCTTGAAGATGCGCGACTAGTCGTTTATTGGCATCCCCTTGCAGAGACCGCTAATAGCACAAGTTGTTGAGATGCGGGCTCGCAACGCACGACAGGCATGGAGAGCCCACACGACTGGCTACCTGTACAAACGTTCTTTGTACATACCCACAAGCTCACTTTAACACAAGTATCTAGCACGCAAGCGTATCTACGCCTTATGCGCGTGTAGGGAGGCCAGATAGGTATATGGGGGCAGAAGACAAAGTATGGAGACAAAAGTACGGAGTACGGAGGCAGCGGGCGGAGCAGATACTGCATAGAAACAACAACTCGAGCCGATCCATGTAGGACTCGACGGGGGTGACGCATCTAAAACGTACGGTCTCATCCAGTAATAATCCAGAGTTGCCATGGATGCTAAGAATGCTGCTGGCAGTGTTGTGCTAGTATTTGCGGTATCTGGTAGCAGGTATAGCACTATTTATTACTTTCAGTATGCTCTTAGTCGTTTGTACAAGAGGCGTGCTTCGTATACACGGTATATTCAAACACTCAGACACAATCGGATCACGCTCACATAAGAGAACTCTGCAAAACACTAGCTGTTGCCGCTCCGCTTTCACTAGCCGTGCAACTGCTATATACCTAGTATAAGGCACACTGCGGGTTTATGTAATCCGCTGGGTTCTCTTTTTGCCTGGGCCGGGGTCAGGGTTCTGTTGAGACCTTCTCGAGCCTCCAGCTTCCGAGCAAATGCGCGCGGATGGACGACCCGATCTGCATGTCTAACGGAGTGGGAGTGAGCTGCCTTGTTTGTGAGGGGCTCCCAAGGCTTGCCAGAACTGCCTAGCAGCTTTCCGTGCGTCCACCTGCATGCATGGATGCATAATAAGGCCATTGATACATACATGTAGCACTGCGTACGAGCATTCCCATCCAGGATATGCCTCCATTCGGCTCAAAACAAGCTCTCGCAAGTACTGCTACAGGCAAGGCGGCTGCTGGCCGCAAGGGACGGTGTCTTGCCGCCGTACTCACGCACCTACTTTTATCAGACTGGTACTTGAGCGTCCCCATATCCAAGTATGGGTACGACCTCCCTACTTGCGCTAGCACGCGGTCCTCAGCTCTCGTCGGCCTTCTATTTTAAACCGTCGAGTAATCTGCACCTGCGTATCCCACTCTGTGGTCGGTGCTCCGTGCTCCGTGCGAAGCAACCTGGGCCGCATCCACGGCCGCGCCATGAGCCGTCTCATGATCCAAGACAAGCCAGACGTCGTCCGCACTGAGAGACACGAAGCAGTCAGCCGGGGGAAATAAACCGAAAAGCCGCACTAACCTCGTTGCACCCTTGTGAGCCGAGGAGGCGGCGGCGTGTCTTAGACCCTTCCTTTTCCGATTCAGCTTTGTGCCACTGCCATCTACCTGGAACCAGTGAAATTCCAGGGCACTACTTCTGTGTGTCCCCTGCTAAGCTTTTGGTGTGTGTCGTTTGATGGCTCTACTGCACTCGTATGTGCCTTAATAACACAAAAAAGGTGTGCGAGGGGAGAGGGGGAATGCGAGCATGACCAAACCGCGTAGCATTTCCATTTTGAGAGGAAACAACAAGGCGGAAAAAAATAAAAAGCCCTCAATACAATGGCTCCTCGCTTAGCTTTGCTAAGCCATGGTGCCAACGCTGCCATCTGTATCCAGCATTGCTGTTTTATGTTTTATACTGAGGCGTAGACTTGCACTGCTGTGTAAGTGAGTCTAGGGCATGTATAGGTAGGTAGGTAGGTAGGTTCTACGGTAAGGTATACTACTTCGCACATTACCTCTCCACTGCTAATAAAACGTCTCCCTACTGCGGTACTAGTACTAGCACCTGCAGCTATTATCGCCATGGTACGAGTGCTAGTAGCAGCACTACCAAGCAACGCATCTGCAGCTGCATTAGGATGCTTGGCTGCGCGATCCAATGAGGACCCTTAGATGGCATCTTTCAAATGCTCTGAGTTTCGGTAGACCCCACTACGATTTAGCTTTTTTCCGCAGTCGGCATTTTCCGTGCTAAGAAGAAGCGATGAACATGGTGGCAAGCATGGAGAGACAAGTCATTGTTGCCGCATTCTGCATTCTGCATCTCCAACGTGGGAGAGGGCAACAGACTCCAAGCTACGTGCTTGTCTGCCACAACACAGCTGCTCGCCGGGACACTATGCAGGCACTGGGCATATGGTACGATGTACTGTAGCATCCAACGGTGCTTGGAGGAATGGCCTGTAGCCGGCCTAGTCGTTTGCATCCCGCTTTGATCGTCACGACCTTTACTCCCAAGAATGCTGTAGGTCCCCACCAGCGGTACTAGAATAATGCTGTAACCAGTCGGCGCTGCTAGCAGCATCCGTGCGGATACAAGGCCGCTCGCAATAACCGAGTACTGCTCCGCAGCAGCCACGGGCGACGGTGACCTCGCTCTTCCCCACCCGGCAGGTACCTCCGTTGCAAGATACGATAGCTGCTCTGTACATGCAAGGTACTTTGGTAATGGACGCTGCCAGCAAAGGAGGCCGAATTCTCATTGGCTACTGCGCCTCCCACATGCCGTCCACCTCGCAGTGCAGGAACGATGTAATACAAGTAGTTGCTACGACCAATTCCGTCATTCTTCCAAGGCGAGCACATGCTTCGGGTGAGCTTCTTACCCGTTATACTGCCCATTTCCAAGTGCTGCGCACACGAACGCAGCAGCCTGAGGCATCAATTCTAAATCTGGACTCAGCAAGGCAGCAAGGCAGCAAGGCATCATGCAGGGGACCTCGTTGCGGAAACGAAATAGGCGTGGTTGATACGACCGCTCGTATCCCAAAACCACGATTCTCTCAATCAACACCCTCTCCTTACCGGGCCAAGCCGTCTAATCCAGGCTGGATTAATTAGTGCTGCCGAGAGGATACAAGCCGTTTGAACAGTCGACCCATTTGCCGTCGCCTCGACAGTGGAGAACAAACAAAACCACGCTCTCTTCATGTGGCTCAAAGAAGGAGGCGTGTGGATTGTAGGCATCGCGATGCCAAGCAGCAGAAGGTTTTCACAGCCACCCCTACTTAGAAAGCCTGGTTCTGGGCTCTATGCTTGACGTCGACGACTGGTTCCCTTTTGCCGAAACTGGGACGAAACGGTTTCACAAAGGGCGAAAATAGTTATCCTGTGGCACTTCGCCTTCGCGCTCCCACGGCTCGGTTTCGCTGAATCCGTGACTAGGCTCTGTTCGAACTTCTGGCTGTTTTACGCTCTCGGCAGCCAAGATCGAGATCAGGACCCTTTTAGCTCCTCAGCACAACCTAAACAATCTCAAGCTAGCATCGAGCCTCTTCCTATCACACCACACACCAGACATGATAGACTTCAAACCTGCAGGGCGTAGCCCGCAGACCTCGATCTAGGTTAGACAGTATTAATGGGCTTTCTTTTCTCAGGCAGCGACTCTCTGCACGCATTTCAATGTTAACATGCCGTGTCTTAGCTTTCCTTGAGGCTCCGAATCCTCCTAGCTTTGATGGCTGCAAGGCTGCTAGTGCCTCACTGTTAGCATAAGATCATCTCATCTCAGCAAATGCCGGCACGTTGCCGCACGTGGCTTTGGAAGCCATGTGTGAACGGGTCAACCGCAGTCAATAGACTACTCGAAAGACTTTGTTTTTGTTTTACAGTATCAATAGGCACTGGCAGCACACAAAAACCCTCTCATTTCAAACATGTCTCTCGGCAATGGATATACACTGCAACCCACCTCAGCTGTATCAGACTTGGCAGCGCTATTTCAGATATTGTCACTCGCCTTCAGCTAGTAGTTTTACCTCGAGTTTCCACATAACCATCCCGCTGGGAATTGGTCTTCTGGCGCCGGCAACCGCCAGTCACCCTCGGGCCAGCGGCCTGGGCGGCAGATAAGCAACAAGCCGACCAATTAAACAAGGTCACTGTTGCTTTCTTCAAAGCTTGCGTTGGCCCAGTGGCAAGCTAATACCCATTCCTAGTCATTGAGTATTCTCACTAAACTCAGCCCCGAGCTTATTGCAAAGGCCACCATTATTCAGGTGTGAACCAACAGCCTAAGCTAGTAAACATGGCAGTTGCTTCATAAAGAACCTGCTGCAGGATAAGCGGAAACGGGATGAGGCGGCTCACATTGAGAACACACAGACTGCTCTCCCCGCATTCGCCACACCCTCAGGTTGAATAGACTTTTTATCTTCGTCGTCAACTTCATTGTCTTAGAACCCTCTAATATTGAATGACCAGGAAGCGGAAAGTAAGCCATGCAAGCCACATACTAGACCGGATTTGAGCGAGCGGTGCTTAAGCAAAGACCCGAGCCTACCAGTGCCGCAATCCACCATTCAATGGCTGAGTTTCAGGTAAATTAAAACAACCTTTCCTTCCTTTCTAATTTGTCACTTGAATACAGTTCGATACTAGCACGCTCATAGAAATGGCCTGATTATCCACTATCCGATTGGATCAGCCTCCAGATAGGATGTGCCTAGAGCAGGCATTGCTGCAGCCAGCTTATATCGGATTCGTCGAAAGAATTTTCATTTATCCTTGGTCACTGCCCTAAATAGGATAAAGCCCATCCCTCTTCTACCCTTGGACTACCTACTTGGGTATACGGGTCACTAAACTCAGCTCGGTCCGCAAAGCCAAGACAAACGGCAGGCTGAGTTGGGTTCGCCATTGCGATGCTGTTGCCGCTACACATCAGGCTTGAAGGCACACAGCACAGAAGGGTGTGTTTGTTTTGCCTGACTGGTGCGACCACTGATCTCTCCTGCATCATTGGCAAATGCGAACAGGGTTTTTTGCAGCTTTGATAATACGCCAGTAACAAGACTGCATATAGATCCAGGTTATGTGGACCCACCACGCAGTCTTTAGCTTTTGTTACTTCTGCAACTTGGAAAGCTTCAGCGTGAGAGCATTATACAGCACTTCTTACAAGCTGATTTACTTACATCTGCGGGCCGAACGAAGCGGCAGCTTAGTAGCCAACAAGCAGACGGACAAAGTCCTGGAGCAGTAATCTTAGCCAGGGTTTTTCAGCTGTCTGTTACCCCTGGCCCTACACCCTCAGCTGCAGATAACCGAGATAAAATCATTGCATCGCCGTAACTATGTTAGGCCACGATGAAGAACTTGTGAATTAATACGAGCACCATTAGAGCCAAACAAAACCTGCTGAAGTCACTTAATTACCAACATACTCATGACCTTGTGGCAAAACAGTGGGCAAGAAACCGGGTCACCATCATCTATTCTGCAATAGCTAACCACGACAGCTCTCACAACTAATTCATGCTATGAAATCCTCATGTGTGTTTTGCATAATTTTTTGTTGGCTAGACTCGTGGAAACCTGCAGCCACACGCGAAGACCCACACGGCGCTAGAGCAGGAAAACGATGCTAATGATGATGCTAATGCTAATAAATACAGCCCAACAGTATTTATTCTTTATTTCCCTCATGGTTAGAGGATGGTAGGATGCAGCCACAGAGGATCCGTCGTCCATAGGTAGTTACTCTCAATGGAGTAGGTAGGTGCCTCCGGGAAAATCTTCCATGCTCCGCGCTTTGAGTGGAGGAAAATCAGACTATGGAGTATCTTTGACTCAAACGCCATGTTGTGGCCGTCAATACATGCCAGGCTTACTCCAGATACAATTTAGAGACCGGTAGCACTTTCAGGCGCACTCTCTCGCCCTCTCCCCCCAAGCAGAACAGAAAACGGTTCCTGATAGTCAACGGCATAGGACAAGGTTTTTGTCTACTGTCTCACCTTTCTGATCTACGCTCCAGTTACCAGGCCGGCTGAGTCGGTTACATGATGAATTTGAGAATATAAGTTTTAGAATCACACCCCTTCCCAATCCAGCTCCCGTCTATTATGACAAACTCTCTTTCAGTTGACAGAACAACACTTCCACAGTCTATCTTTCAAAAGGAAGAGTACGAAGCAAGCGTACTCACTGGCTAGCTCTCGAAACGAAGTAGCCGAGCTGCCGCTATCCTTGTCCTATGTAGTTGAGAGACGACAAATTGCAAGATATCATTGCTAATTTCTCCACCACGCACACACATACTACAGTATGATAGCCGCTACTGTGCTTCAAATAGGGCGATGGCTTGCTTCATGGCACATGCAAGTGCGATTCCCGCGTGTGGAACATTTGCTCTCTAGTGTTTTGTCCGGTGGGATGGAGCGAGCACTTCTTTTACCTGGGGGCTGGTAAGTGGCATCTCACACCACCCAGATTCTATATCCCGACAAACTCTATGCTATATTCATCTAGTTCGCGCCCTCAGATGTACAAGTAAGGGACTTGGCTCAGCTTAGAACAACACTGCACGTTCCCACTAGCTGACTCAAATAAGCCACATCTCGTTGAGCTTCGTACTAGCTCGAGACCCTCCCTTGCTCTGTAGGTCTCTACCCTTCGCCACCAAGACTATTGGTTCCTAATATATTGGAGCGTGGCTTTAAAGCCTCATCCCTCGCGTGATGCTCCGCTACTAAATGAAGTCGAAACCAGCCCCCAACCAGTGT